CCAACACTAAAAATGGGCTGCGTTAAACGATTTTAAAATGTTATCAAAGTATTCTTTCAAATATTCCATTTGATAGTGAATTGACAGGGAAAAGTAAAGTAAAAAAACAAATAGAAAGGAAAGGGAAAAGAAAAAAAAAGTCGTGGAGGCGTCCCAAGCGTTGTTCCGCGGAGAAGCTTTCAATGATCTGCCTTTTGACGTTGTAAGATAAAAGAAGGAAGCACTAAATGAGCGGCTAGCAGAGACCACGACGGAGTAGCTACGTTTGTTGTTGTTTTTTAACAGTGTTGGTTTTTTCGTTTTTGTTGTTCATTTATTTGTTTTGGTAAGTGTTTAACGGCGGTGGCATATAAGGTCATATGAGCGCGCGGGATACGTTAAACGTTTTAAGTTTGGTAGGAATTAATTTTGTCCCGGTGGCGGCTGAAGCCTACTCTTATTGATTTTGGACCACTAATGGACATTTATCGTGCGCAACTTGCAACTGTGACCTCCAAGATTTTCTGCCCTTATCCGAGAAGCCTAGGTGTTAGATCTTACCTACACTAAGATCAGGTGTGTGGCTGAAAGAGATCAGCAAGAAGGAGCCAATTTGTAGCAGTAAAAAGGCTGCAGAAAGAGTCAGGAGCCCAGAAGAGGGGGCAAAGGGATGAGGGTGGGGGCGGGGGAGGGGGGAGAGACAGTGGAGATGAAAGCAAACGACAGAACATGGTTAGCAACAGCAGGAAAGGAGGTGAAAGAAGGAAATTTTAGAGACAAAAAATTTTCAGTCGCTCTCAGGTTTCGAATCCGGCAACTGTTGATTGAGAGGCGAACACCGTAAAAATAAAGACCACAATTGCCCCCAAATAAATTAGATATACATCTAATTATCATATTATTGAAACATCGATACGACAGCAAAGTATTAAACAGAAGACAATTGTATCCCAATTGTAACATGAAACAAGTAGGCAAATGATGAACATCACGCATTTAGAACAATTGTTAAAGGAAATTGAACAGGTAACAATAATAATATAAACCAGGTGCGTGTTGTGCTTTTGGCTATTCAGGGGTAACTACACAGTACAAGGAGAAGTTGATATGTCAGTGAGTATAATAGCCTTTCGCTTGTTTTTTGTTGTTGTTTTTTTGTTTGTTTGTTTTTTGTTTTTTGTTAGTTGGGGGTTTTTTGGTTTTGGTGTTTGTTAGTTGTTGTTTGTTTGTTTTTTTTTGGTTTTTCTGCTAGGGTCACATCAGATTGTGTGAGATACTTCATCCACTCTTTGGAATTTAACTCTTGACTCCAGAACTTAAGGGGCCCTACACATGTACGTTCCAACCAAGCGGTTTTAACAGGAACAGCCACGCAAAAGTACGTGTCATCCACATCACGTATGATTTCCTTGCAATTTATGCACTGCTCTGACGTGGCAAAGACTAACAAGAACAGAAAAATAAGGAAGAAAGAGTGGATTCAGAAAAGAGATCACTTGAGCCATAGATCTACCAATGCGTGAACTACGGCCTTATCCTGATGCTTTCAGTGGGGG